AAAAAAAAAAAAAAAAAAAAAAAAAAAAAAAGGACTGGGGTCGGGAATGTAGCTCAGTGGTTCCGTCACCTGCCTCGAAAGCACAAGGTCCTGAGTTCGATCCCCGGTACTCCGCAAAAAAGGACTATAAAATCCAAATGTGTTGAGGAGTGTATGCAGTCCTAACTACTTGGGAGGCTGAGACAGGAGGATTGCAAATTTGAGGCCAGCCTGTGCAACATAGCAAGATCCTGTCTCAACATTTAAAAATTAAAAATGAGCTGAGGATGTCACTCAATGTGAGGTCCTGGGTTCAATCCTCAGTACCCCCAACCCCCCAAAAGGGCTATATATAACACACCAAGTGGTTCGTGATCTCGATTATGGACTGGCCCCACCTTTTTACTAGGAAGGAATATCATCTAAATCTACATATTTTTGCCAGCAAGTTTTGTTATGAATTTATTTATTTATTTATCTATTTTTTTATTTATTGTACCAGGGGACCAGGGATCAAACGCGGGTCCTTTCGCTTGCGAGGCAGGCGGCAGCAATACATTTATTAACATTAAGGAAAATTTTAGAAAAGAAAAATTATTCATAATTTCAGGGCTGAGGATGTAGCTAAGTGGTACAGCACTTGCCTAACAGGCACAAAGCCCTGCATTGGAAAAAACAAAAAACAAAGAAAGGAAGAAGAAAGTTATTCATAATCTCAACCCCTCAGTGCAACTCTGCTCAAAGTCTGTGTCCCATTCCATTTCAGGCAATAAGCTCTGCTGTAATCACGCCAGATGGATTCTTTGAGGTGTGCTCTGATCAACAGCTTAATCTCCAAAATGTTTCTGTGAGCCACAGCAGTGTTTTTAGTCCACCTAGCAGATGAGTGAGGGGAAGCCGGGATGGAAGGTTGGATTAGTGACCCTACGAGGAAGCTGGCCAGCCCAGCCTCTACCAAAGTAGGGTGGTGGAGGCAGGGTTAACATCACCTTCTCCGTTTCAACCAGGGGCCACAGCACAGCTATAATTTCGGCATGTACCTTGGCAAGACTTCTCATCAGTTAATAATTTGAATCCTTTTTTGCAGCTGCAGTCAAAACTGCCCACGGTGTTTTTGCAGAAGTGATCGCAACCTCCATTTCGGGTCTGGCACTCATCGATATCTGTGAGGCAAGCATCGGCAGATCAAAGAACTCGCCCACCTCCCACAAACCCGGGAGTGCTATTGCCTACAGTCGTTACTCTCTGAAGTAAAAACAGACCCACAAAGGCACATAAGAATGTCTACTGATGTTTCGGATCTTATGCGGTTTCCTCGTCTTGGCTGAACCAGTTTGGAAGGACAAAGGCCTCATCTTGAGAGCTCTGACTCCCAAGGCCCTGGACAAGCATTAAGGAAACAACTGACGGGAAATGGTGGCGAGGGCCTCTTAGCCTCTCATCCCCATGGCACTCACTAAAGATAAGATAGCTCCATTAGTCTGCTTTCTCTTCCAGCTTAATGATTAAAGCTGTAAGGGACTACAGCATTTGTTTTGGCAAATTGTATAATGATCAAATAGCCTCGAAGTTTTTCAATGATGCCTGATACTCCATCTTATCTTTACTCAGTTTCATCTGGTAGCTGGTTATCTTTTATCACTAATCCTTTGTACTCTTGCCCATGAAATACTAGCAAGACACTGGGGTCTGTCTTCATCAGTAAAAGTTAATGGTACAGTTATTCATTAAGTTCTCCGGATAATAATCTTGGCTGTTATTTACATAATAATCTCAAGGCTATTATTTATGACAGGTAGATATTATCTCCTGCCAATGAATGTTTCCTTGAACTGCCTTTTTCTAATAAGGCCACAGCCAGAAATGGATCATTTGAAGCTCATAGAGGCTGACCTTCTCAACAGTTAGTGTAATTAAGATGGTTCTAATTAAGCTTACTCAATTAAAACCGTCCACTAGCTCAGGGGAAAAGCTCCCATCGATGTGAATCATAAGCAAGTCTGGAGTCACCCTCACACAGCAGCACAGGGTTCCCTCGGCAACAGGGCACCCCCAACATACACAGCGAACACTACCTTTACACGTCTTTCCGTCCAGCTGGAGAGTGAACCCGACCGGACAGCTGCAGTGAACACCCGTCGAGGTGTCCTTACAGGTGCGGTCACAACCCCCATTGTTCACAGCACACGTTTCTGATGAGATAGAAAAGTCATTTAGCTTCCCAAAGAAGTACTGATACAGCTGTTAATATTTGACAAAGTGTGTAAAAGCCAGAAAGCATGGTGGGGTACTCTGGTCACGTTCCAAGGCTCTGCCACCAGCAGGTGAGGTAGATGGGGAGCAGGTGTGGCTCCCCTCTCCCGCCTAAATGATTGGTATTTCCTAAGGAAGCTGGTCAGGGTGGCCAAAGAGTGAAGATGTCTCCCAATCTGCAGAGCGGTTCTCCACCCTGGGCAGATTTAAAGCTACTTTTCTTTTTCTTTTCTTTTTTTTCTTTTTTTGGTTTTTTTGAGACAGGGTCTCACTATGTAGTTGAGACTGATTGACCTGGAACTCACTATGTAGCCCAGGCTGGTCTCGAACTCGCAGCGTTCCTCCTGCCTCAGCCTCCTGAATGCTGGGATTACAGGAGTGCGCCACCACGCCCGGTGATTTAAAGCTACTAAAGGTTTGTGCTAACCCACAACCAGGAACCTGCTCGGTATGATCACAGTGACAGAGTAGATATGAATGCAGAACAGGCCCACAGGGAAATGTTCCATTCTTAATCCCAAACCTTTTCCAGCCTGGATGCTGAAGATGTCAAGAGAGAGCAAGCATTGCCCACACCCACCATTCCCTTGTTTGGGCTACTGGCTTCATCCTTACAACTGCCAATTTACTCAAAATTTAACTTTCCCTGAATGTAGAAAAAGGCGTGTCGCCACCACATGAAAAATAAGTCACAGTTGTTAAATTGCTTCTGTGAAGATAAGGAACAATAAGCAAATGGCCTTCTAGTTCTGCTTGTCATGTGGTTATTCCAAGTAATAAGCAAGTGTATTCAACATGCATTCAATTGCTATTACTTAGGCACTGAGAAATAATCATTTTACTTCCATGGTGATCTCGTTTTAAGCCTGGGGGAGAAGGCTTAGTTCTAATGAAATATGACAGCTCTATGTTAGTCTGTTTCCTCTTGAAATCTCACTAAAATGAGAGCAGACAGATTTTTAAAAAGACAAAGAAAGTGGGAAGAAGCAATACATAAAAGACGTCAAATATTCTGGAAATGGGATATGAAAGAAAAAAAAAGTTCACTAGTGTAGCAAAAAGCCAAATCCTAGGGATCTGTAGAGGGACCACCAATAAACCCTAACACTCAGGAGCCACAGAATCCTAGAAGAGCCCAGGAATCAAAGGCATGAAGTTACCCAAGAGACAGCTGAGTATGGAGCTTAAAACAGATTGGTCGGGGCCGGGGATTTAGCTCAGTGGTTCTGCTGCTTGTCTTGCAAGTGCAAGGACCCGAGTTCCATCCCCAGTAGCAAAAAAATAAATTAAATAAAATAGATTGATTGAGAGCCCCTATTATAAAAAAAAAACAAAAAACAGATAAACCCTCAGAGCTCCTTCTTAATTCCACACAGCCACATGACCACCCCTTCACTCTTCCTGGCTATAGAGAGAAGTTTATGCTGTGGAGAAGCCAGACCAGAGAGGCACCAGGAATAGCAGGGGAGGATATGGAGGCATAGTCAGGTGAAAATCTCTCCCTTGCAATGAAAGATCTCAAACCCACTTCCTCTACCTCAGCTCCCAGAATGCTGGCAGCAAAGCCACTATCTTCTGGAGAGGGTTCCTCTCCAGCTGCCCAACTGAAAAGACCCAATGATACCAGCATTGGAGGGTCTTCAAATGATGGGGCTGAGCTACGGCTTCGTCTTCCAAATATGAAGCCCACCAGCCAACAGAATATCCAATTGTCTTTTTAGCATTTTACTATTAGGTTAAAAAAAATCAGTCACGAATCACAAGACATTTCAGGAACACTAAATACACATGTCAAGTCAAATAGGAAAAAAGAAACTTGGAGGAAACAAATAATACAAGGGAAAAAGAGAAGTTAGAATTTTATAATTAATTTCCTCAGGGAGATAAGAAAAGCATCTATAAAATAAGAACAGGTTCCTATCACAAACGACTGAAGTAAAGTTCCTGAAAAAATTAAAATATGAAAGAAGTTACACAGTGCCTTCCTGGCAAGCTCAAGGCCCTGAGTTTGATTCCTGGTACCAAAAAGAAGAAGCAGAAATTTTAAAAGTATCTTGTAGAAAGATTTGGAGAAAAAAATGGAAATCTCCCAGAAAGTAGAACAAGGAAGAGAAAAGTTAGAGGATCAATCTCAGAGTTATGGCAGTCTACTAATAAGAGTTTCAGAGAGAAAGAACGGAGAAAATAGAATAAAAACTTTTTTAATTTCTCAGAATCAAGGAACTCAAGTACCCATCTTGAAAAAGTTGAGGCCACAGCACAGCAGGTGGGGAACCCCCCATCAGCAGAGGACCTTATTGTGAAATGCCAGATCACCAAGGGACAAGGAGATCCTGAAAACTTCCAGGGATCTTTCACAGATTTCACACAAAGGGTCAAAAATAAGAATGAAAACATTCCGCTGCCTGCCTCGCAAGCACAAGGACCAGAGTTCAATCCTTGGTACCAAAAAAAAAAAAAAAAAAAAAAAAAAAAAAAAAAAAGAATGAAAACATAGACACTAACATGGACACTGAATTCTATAACAAGCTAGATTCTCAGTAAGGGATGAAAGGCAAAGACATTTTCAGGCATGCAAAGTTTTTAAAAACCTGTATCTTATTCACCATGCAAACTTAAAAAGGACAAGACATGGGATCCATCAATAGGAGAGCAGTGAAGGGAATTTGTAGGCTACTGGGAAAGGGGCGGCAGAGAGAGGAGCTGGAGGCCAGGGGTCAGGCCCTCCCAGACACGGGGAAGCATCAGAAGAGGATGCTGAAAGAAGAAACCTCAGCAAAGTCCTGCTGTATTGAGCACACTGCAAAGGGTTTTAGAGAGTTCTTCTGGAGGCTTGCAGTAGGATGTATATGAAATACTTAGAAAACTAACCAAAGAAAATATAGTTATAGTATGTTACAGGACTCGAGGTTGAATCGTATGTAGATATCCATAGTTACAATAACATAAACATGTCATATATTGATTTAAATTGTGATAAAACTATTTAAGGGTATGGGGGAGAGGGTGTGTGTGTGTGTGTGTGTGTGTGTGTGCATGCGCATAATGGAGGGGACTACAGACAGCTGAAACTTAGTCTTCCATAGTATAAAGCCAAAAGCCACTGTGTAAAACTGACACATCAAGAAACAGCTGCACACACTTCATTTATCAGAAAATGAGGGAGGAAGAGCGAGAAGAAACAACTAGGAAAGTTGAGAATTGTGGCCTCTGGCAAGTGGGATTAAGAAATGGGAAGTCAATTTGCAAGCACAAGGACCTGAGTTCAATCCCCGGTACCAAAAAAAAAAAAAAAAAGAAATGGGAAGTCAAGAGATAAGGAAATGATTTATTTTGTTACAAACTGATTGGTAACTCTATACTCATCATGTGTATCATTTTAATTTGATAATTGAGAAAAAGGCTCAGAAAGGTTACCTGCTTGCTAACCAATGGCTGCTCAATCTTACCTATTAAATCCAGAAGCTGCCAAAAGAGCCATCTTCTTTAGATAGCATCAAACGCTCCAGAATAACGTGTCAGAGCATCTGTCTGGTTCCCACCCCCTCAGGCACTGTGTCTAGTTCTCTCTCCTGTCCAGCCAGACGGTTGGGCCTGCTGGCAGAGCATCCCCTGTCTCGCAGCCAAGTGCCACTCTTCTTCATTCATCTCCTTTACCGCTAACACTGGCTGAGTCAGAAATGGCAACTTGGATGCAAAACAGACAAATCCCCATGCAAGGCTGGAGGCTACTCAAAGTGCCTCTCTCATAAGGGGACTGACATTCCCTGACCACCCACTACGACCCAGACCCTGGACTCCGGGCATTTTTGCATATCATTATCTTAATTAAGCTTCCCAACAACCCTAAGTACCAGGGATCGAACTTGGGCCCTTGCGCTTGCAAGGCAGGCAGTGGAACCACTGAGACAAATCCCTGGCCCCCTAAGAAGTAGATTTTATTGTATCCTTATTTATTTATTTTTTTTAAGTTTCAGGGATCGAACTCGGGACCTTGTGCCTGCAAGGCAGGTGACAGAACCACTAAGCTACATCCCCAGCCCTATTGCATCCACTTTGAAGGATGATCTAGAGACAGAGTCTCAGGGCAGCTGGCCAAGTCTCACAGTCAGCTAGGGCAGCACTAAGACATTAACCTGGTTATCACGATGGCCTGGCGGGCACTCTTCCCACAGTGCCAGGGGTCTTGGATGGCAGTGAAACAACAGAAGCAGGTGAAAAACAAACATACCGTGGCGTAGCAGCTGGTCCCTCTGGTCTTAGGGCATGTGGCCCCCCAGCCTAGTACAATGAGACTGGAAGAAGAGGAGCAATGGCAGTGGCCAGGAGGGGAGAGAAGATGCTTGCTTACCCATGAGTAGCCTCCGTTTCACCCGTTTATCCCCATCTGCCACTGATGTGGCATTGCTCTCTGTCACCTCTAGGGCAGTGTCCTCTTGCTCTACAAGAGAAGCAAAGACCAAATTCCCAGGCTGAGTGAGGCAGATTACCCATCCCCTGAACAACCACTCCTGCTGGAATTTCAGACACACGGACAACGAAAGATGTGACACTGTTCACTCAATAAAAATGTGTCTTAGTGGATATCTGTGGGAAACAGCATAGTAAATGGCAGAAGAGCCTTATAAATATTCTATATGGAGGTTTTAGAAGTACATTGCACCAAGCAAGGAGACACTAGGGAATACAAGCTTTAGCTCAGGGCAAAAAGTTCAGGAACCTTAGTTCAGGGCAAAAAAAACCTTGGGTCTAGAAACCTCTAAAATACAGCTGATGGGGCCGGGGATTTAGCTCAGCGGTTCGGTGGCCTGCCTTGCAAGTGCAAGGACCAGAGTTCAATCGCCGGTACCAAAAATAAATAAATAAATAAAAATAAAATACAGCTGATGAAGGACATACCCTGCAGGGCAGGGGAAACATTCAGCCAGAAATGCGAATGCCCCGCTCCTGAAAGCCTGCCACATCATCACAGCTACTTTTAACTTCATGTCACCCTGACCCTTTGGGATGTGTTGTCACAGTATCCAGAATATCAGCTTCAGGAGCAGCCTGGCTCAGGGAAGGAGAAAGGGCTTTCCGAGGTCACACAGGGAGAGCCGGACCTCCACCACCAAACTGGAGTCCTCCCACAGCAGCGTGGAGAGCGGCTGAGCATCTGGGACCAAGGCACAGAAGAACCCCTAACGGGCGGGTGAAGGTCAGGGTTTGCACTGGGAAGGGGCAGGCTGAGGCAGAATCTCACCCCGTGTGGGGTCGCCACTCACCAAGACAGCTCCTCCCATCCGGGTGCAACTTGTACTGTGGGTGGCAGCTACACTCTGGGCCTTCAGCTGTGTCTTCACAGGAGTGCTGGCACCCACCGTTCCCATGGTTACAGGTCACTGGAAACAAAGTGAATCAATATATAAAGCAGTGAGGATTCCACAACCAGGGCCCTGTTCGCTAACTCTGATTTTTCATTCTGCAAGCATCTGAGCACCTCGTGTGTCCCAGGAACTAAGCATAGAACAGATAACTGCCATTCAGACCCCATCCATATATGTATAAGCAAATAGTCGCAATTCAAATGGTAGAAATGCTGCAGCACAGGTTAAAGAAAGTCACACAGGAGGATGGAAATGCGTGTTGAGGGGAGACCACTACTTAGGAGGAATTATACCAAGATGACTGACTGCTGCTCCGCTTTACCGACAGAAGCTTGCCTGTTATCACAGCTATACTGTGGCTTTGAGAAGTAGGACAGCACTTTGTATCTGGAATAAACGGACATTATCCAACTCGTACATATGCTAGGATTTCTCTCACTAGACTCCATTAGAAGAGAAGATAATCAGAGGAAATGATGACTCTGCACACAGTTAATGCATCATTAACCGATAATTATGAAGACTATGTATGAATGCATTGATGGCAGGCCAAAAATAAGTCTAAAAAGCCAACTATAAAACTATCTATTCCTCCAACTGTTAACCGAGTTACATCTGGCAAAGGAAACGGAAGGGCGAGATTATGTGTTGTCTTTATACACTTTGGAGTGGTTTGATTCTTACATGGGCCTTTGTAAACTGTTTAACTTAAAAAGGCTAATTACACATTTGCAATGTGAGAAGGAAGCTGTTCTATGATTATAGGTATGTAGAAGTTACGTGTGTATATAAATGACAACTAAATTAGAATATGGAAAAAACTAAAACAACTAGAGTTACGATTCTGGGTCTTATTTTATTTTCTTTTTTAATTACTCAAATGTTATAACAATACTATTTAAGCAGTGATATCTCGAAGACATTTAAATTGTTAAAAAGTGATTTCTCCAGGTTCTGTTATTCTAGCAGTTGGCCCATGAACAACTGCAGCACTGAGAGTCTGGCCCCACAGGTGAATCGTGGGGGGGCCTGGAGTCCTCCTTTCAATGAACGCAGACTGGAAAAATGGCCTCTGCTCTGCTCAACCCCTGGAAGCCCTCAGGGCAGTCTCACACTGGGGAGGCTGTAAGAGCCTGTGAGAAGCTGTTGTTTGAGGGGGACAATGGCACCAGCCCTGGGTCAGCAGGTTTGGAGAACACATTCTGTTTCAGGATGGAGACCACAGAGAGAAGCCTTTCACTGGGAAACTGGTTCCTCTCGGTAAACAAGCACTGCCAGCAAGCTCTGAGGGTCTCTGCCCACAGCTTTGGAAAGAGTTCCTGAAGAGAAACCCTCTATTTTCTCTGGCATAAGTAGCGGTTTAGGAACACCATTAATTGCTAGTTGTTTCTTGTTGTTTCATTAAGGTTTTGTTACCACAGTCATTGTGTGGCAGCTGTGTCCATATTGTGCTCACTTCCACTCACCCATGCATTAAACAAGTGTGTACTGGGCATATCTTGTGAAAGACACCAGGGAAAAACTGAGGAGAAAAAATGAGACAAAGATCCTGACTGAGAGCAGTTCACAAATGGGGAGACAGACATCGAAACACAACTCAATCTAGTGTCCTGCAATATAAATGAGAAATAAACAAAGTGCTGTGGAAGCCAAAATACAAAATGGCTTCTCTGTCTGAGACCATGGAAAGGCTTCAAAGGTAGGGCAGTGTGGTAATTTGAATGTAGCTTTGGAGTCAGGAGGACACAGGTTTGAAAATGAATTTGTCACTTACTCCCAGTATGACCTTGTTCCTTTACCTTATACACAATTTTCTCAACTGAAAATGTGAATAATAATATTTGGCTCATAAGGGGTCTCGTAAGAATTGAAAAGGATGTCGTACATCTTGAGACAAGCCTTTGCATGTAATAAATCTCTTTAAAAATGTACCTGTGGTCCTATTATTAGAAGTTAGACAGGATTTTGAAGGTTTTATCAGTGTTCACCACACAGGAAGGCAGAAGGGTTGAGAAAGACTTAGAGGAATAAGGGGTGTTCTCCAAAGGGCAAGGAATTTAGGATCCGTAACTAGGACCTTAAATAGCAGGTGAAGCTTATAAAGGAAGCAGGGACCAGGTAGCAAAGAGCTGTGATTGTCAGATGAGGAAATCTGATTTTCTTCTATGGGAACAGGGAAACTGTCCCCCAACATTCACAATGAATCTTGAATTGATCTTGAATTTCGTTCCCTTCTCATTGGTTCCTTATAAATCATATTCCCCTTCCCTCCGGGGCACTACTCTTCTGAGTGAAGGGAGCACTTGGTGGAGAAGAGCACCTGCGCCAGCTGCTGTCCCTGAGGCTGCCACCCTGTGCTGGGAGTGGTGTTTCTGACCCTGGGCTGTGGACGGCAGCCTCTAGGGTATCTTGTTCCCAGCACAGTGGAGCACCAGTTCCTACTTACAGATGCAGTCTCTCTGGTTCTTGGCCAGCTCAAAACCAGGTCTACACTCGCAGGCAACGCTGCCCCTCGGGGCCTCCTTGCAGATGTGACTACAGCCGTGATCCTTATTCATGCAACTCAGGCCCTCTGCAAAACAGCAGCATGCAGCAGGTGACCAGGCTGCAGACAGAATTCTGAGTCCCAGGGGAGCTGCTAGGGACTGGGGGATGGGGAGGGCCACGACCTGCCCTCCTTGGCTTCCATTAGCCCCACATTTTAAAAAATTGTATCACGTTCTGGGGATGCAGCTCAGTGGTGCAGAACTTGCCTAGCATGTGTGAAGCCCTGGGTTCAACTCCCAGTACTGAGAAAAATAATAAATAAACCATTATAATCAAATTGGTGATCAGAGACATGAAAGACTTCTTATTTCTCCCAAGAGACACGATGTCTCAACGCCCTTAAGGAGGTGGCAGCCCCTTTCAAAAAGACTTCAGCTCTCTGCTGGGTGTGGATCAGTCTGCTGACCCCAGGAACAAGTTTCCAGATGTGGACTAGAACCTGCGGTCTTCTGCCTCAGCCTCACGCCAGAATTTTATCGCTGCTAGATTACTATTTACTCACTGATCAAGAATGCTTTTCAAAAACTGTCAGTCCTCCTGTCCACCCCAACAAGAGCCACACTCTGGGAGTGAAGGGTAACTACTGTATATTGGCATCTCCACATGGACACTAGCTCAGGGCCCTCTCTTATGTGACCACCCTCTGTTGTCCCTGTCCCCTCCCTCTGTTGCCAACAAACAGCATCATACAACAACATGGATAAGAAAGAGAGACTGAATACATATGGCTCCCTTAGCCACTGTATAATTTTTATAGGTGCATCGTATATTTCTATTAGGCCCAATCTTGTACTAATAGTGAGAAAGGAGACAGGTGGTTATGATCCTGATGGTTTTACATGAATCTAAGTGTAGGACCATAGCAGGGTAGACTCTGTTGTAGGTTACCAGCCTTCTGCCTCATCTCGAAAGCAATTCCTTGGGGACTTGCTACATGCCAGCGCTCAAGGGATCTTGTGTTTCAGGCAGGCACATCCTCAGGACACCAGTGAGGTTGGTTCTGCAGGTTACCAAGGAGCCCTGCGTATGCTCTCACTTGGCGTTTGGACAAGCCAACTCTAAAACATGCCTGAGAGCTGGGCTTGGTTCTCATTGACTGCCTGGGAATAAGACACTTTGTAATTCTGAAAGTAGCACTGTTTTAAACACAACTACAGAGAGTTTTCATTCAGCTTTGCAAAGATCCAACACTGTTCCGCATTGTGCCCCTAAAAACCTTATCCCATTAGGCTCTAGTGAAGTCTCAGGTCTCCTCTCTCACACACAACTGTTCATCTGTGCATCACGGAACAGTGCTTTCAACACCAACAGGTGCTACTCCTATTCCAAAAGACAGTGCAAGAGCTAAGACATCCCCAGAGCTGCCTGTGCTCCAACAGCCAAGCTGCTACACACTGCTGGGATTCTTCCCTGCCCTCCCTCCCAAGGCTGCTCTCAAGTAACCCCAAAGGTTCATGCTGGTTCCATGCAGAGCTCTCTCTTTGCTCTGGCTGGTAGGTTATAAAGATGTCATTCACTGTCTGCTACTGAGATGGCACGGGAGGGAGAGGCCCTGAAGAGAGTGTCCTGTTCCCCTGGGAAGACCTGCCAAGCACTTCGTCTGTCCTTGGGTCAGTGAGGACCACTCAGGGTAAATGTAATAATACCCAAGAAAAGGTGGCAAGGATACCTGGAAAGAACCCTCCCCAAACAGGTCATTTCATCTTCGTTGTCTTTTTCATTCTGCTTATATGTCTCTTAGGATGTTTGCAAAGTGACCTTTACTGCCTCAGAGTAGTTAGTTGATGTACAAAAGAAATACAGCGTTTCCCTGAAAATAATACCTAATTGGAAAACAATCAGCCGTGAAAACCAAAGATCAAAAATGCCAGCTCCAATCAGCCTATCCTTCCCTTAGCTGCTGTTGCAGAATAACGACTGAGCAAGAGAATAGTGAAATGTAATTTTCTGCATGACTGTGGCCATCACCCTGGTGACAAGCAGCTAGGGCTTCTTTTCCAGTCACGTTTTACTTTCAGGGAAACACAGGCTGGAGCCAGGCGTGGTGGTGCATACCTGTAATCCTGGCACTCTGGGAAGCTGAGGCAGGAGGATCACAAGTTTGAGCCCACCCTGGGCAACTTAGTGACTTTATGAGAGCCTGTCTCAAAATAAAAAATAAAAAAAAAGAACTGAGGATGCAGCTTAGTGTGAAGGCCCTGGGTTCAATCCCTAGTACCCAAACTAAAACGAAACAATAAACAAAAAGCAAGCTGGTAAGAACCATGTGCTAGATGTCATCCAGACAGGAGTCCCTGGATGCCCTATCCTATCAGGCAGGGCCTAAAGTTACCATGAGGTAATGGAGGCTTAGACAACTCTGGAAATGCTAGTGGCTTTTCAGAATACCTGACTCAAAACAAGGCCACTGCTGGGAAAGCAGATGGATCCAATCCAAAGGGAGAGGCCAACAAGGGCCCTGACTCTCCTGGGACCTGCCTAGCAGTCATGTCTCAGAGCACTGCTTCACCAGGAGGAACAAAAATGCTCCGTGCTGACACTCCCCAGGCTCAGGGTCCCACGAAGGATGTTTCAGGAAACCAAAAATTAAATATGCCTTAAGAATGGGGCCAAAAAAACGTTACATAAAATGGAAAAGAGTCCCCGCTGGGGCTGCAGTGCCTTCCTCACCTCCCTGACACTTTCCCTACTGCCTTGCCCCAGCACCACAACACCAGCTAAATATTCTCAACACAGACAAAACAGAAGAGAAATGCTCATTTTGAGAGCCTGAGCACCCATGAATAGGAACAAAGGCAGGCTGGGCGTGATGCGTTTCTCTCCAGCCTACCCTCATTACATGGGTGAAAACACAGTCTTCTATGAGAGCTTTAGGGTCTCTAAGGATTAAAAATCATCAATAGCTTGAGCGTTCCCTCAGAATCTGCTACTATAGAATTCTGTATTGAAGAGCACTTAGTAAAGAATTATTAAAAATAACAGCAGTGCTAGAAAATATTGACCTATGGTGTTGCCGCCTTTTAACTGTTTTTAGAGCATCAACTGTGGATTTAAAAGTCTATTTTGCGAGGACCAGGAGTTTAGCTTAGTGGAAGCATGCCTGCCTCAAAAGTGCAAGGTTCTGCATTCGATCCCCAGTACTGGGGGGGGGGGAGGTCTATAGTAATAGTTTCTAGGAATTGATACATACATCGATGAAGTCCTAAAGGAACACCGTTTATAGGTTGCCCTACTTGAAGAACTAAAGTCCCAGGATGGAAGGGGTCACTGTTACAAATCGCCATAATCTGTTAGCATGTGCTGACATGAATCTGCCAGGCAATGAGGTTGAAACGCAACCAAAAATCAGCGAGCATTTCCAGACCACAACTCGAATTCTTGGATTTGGGTTTTAGTTCCAGACAAATATGTTCATTTTAAATACTCTTCAGGGGATCCAAGAATGTCTGAATTGTTGAAAATTTAGACAACACAGCTTACAGAGAGGAACTGCACTTGTAGTTACCTCTGTCGCGAGGAGCCTGTGTCTCTAATCAGTCTCTGGAAGCACAAGGGTGAGAGATGACTGGAATCCCTACAAGCCACCCATATGGGGTGGGATCTACACTGTGGGTGAGCAAGCAATGGCTTTTACCTACAGGTCCCTGCCTCCCTACCCAGCCACCAAAAGAAAGAGCCACACTGACTTGCCCTGAAGCGGCTTTGAGCCACCAAAAGGGGAACAATCACTCTGCACTGTGACTTAATGTGTCCCCACCTCCAGGACGGCCCACTTTGGATTTCAGAGCACACCAAAAAGTCCAGAGAACCCAGCAGGAAAATGAAACCCAATTGCCACCAAAGGGCCACATCTAGCATGAGATAAAAATAAATAAATAAAAAAGCTGTGTGGAGACCAGTGCAGTGGTTTGTTTGTACCTATAATCCCAGCACTAAAGGAGGCTGAGGCAGAAGGATAGCTGTGAGTTCAAGGCCAGCCTGAGCTACATCGTGAGACCCTAAAGGTATGTGACTGCCTAGCCCCAAATGCTGGAAATGAGCAGCCTTGGGGTTTGATAGCCATCAAACCCACTGGGCCCTAGTGATGTCTCTGATAATTGTTCTTAGTACACAAAGAGGTATTTGAGTTAGTCAGAGGGTATAAACCTTCATTCTCAGAAAATGAGACAAACTCATCTTCCATGAAGAAACCCTTGAAAAGTCCTTGGAAACACAAGAAACAATACATCTACAAACTTGTGATTAAATAGAAGAACTTAAAATGACCTCACTCTTAAGATATGGGAATAAATAAGCAGCACATGGCAAAAGGAGTTAATAGTCTAACATTTAGGGCATTTGCCCTAATAACAGGCAGATGCAACCACAAGAAAATACAGCCACCATTGTGTGGCTTTTTGGCTTGAGGAGGATTAAAATGATCACTTTTGGTTAAAAATAACTGATTGGCCACATGTCCTTAATGCTCCTCCCTGCCAAGACTCTGCCAAAGTGACAAGAATGAGAAAGGGGTAAACTCAGAGCAAAGAGCACGAGAAAGAGGCCATCAGAGGAGAGGCGTGTTCTGTACATTTACAGAGGGGAACGGGACCGGCCAGTGGGTGAAGGAAACCACAGCAGTGACGGCCCCATCGCGGAGGGAGACCTTCCGCCCCTCAGAGCCCTGAGGCTCAGAGTTCCAAAGTGCAAAACTCAGGACAGGACCAGAACTGGCTTGGGGCTGCAGCCAGGACAGTTTCTGGCCTGTTTCCACAGAAAGGGTCCAGCCCCTCCTCACTCGCCAGAGCAAGGGGCAGGCTCGCACCGGCACTGTGGCTTTCGGCACCTTTTTGAAAAACTTGGCAGATCATCCACCTTATTTCTCCAGAGCCATCTAGTCCTGTCTGCAACGTGCTCTATTTAAAGATTAGAATCAGAGAATACGAAAGTGCGTGTGGACCTCAGGGCTCCCGAGACGGACACGCCGCTTTGGCCAGCTGAGGAAGGCGAACGTAGATAACGCGCCCACAGTTCCCAGCAGCACAGCCCGACTCCTCCTCGCACCTCAGGCTGTCTGCATGCTTCACTTCCCCTCTGCAATCCCGCGGTTGGGGTGCGGGGCAGAGGCGCTGTACCTTCCGAGAGGTGAATACACGTGTGCTGATTGTCACTCAGGAGAAAACCCTCCCTGCAGAGGCACCCGTAGCTCCCCAGGACGTTGACACAGGTGTGCTGGCAGCCGCCATTGTTCTGCAGGCACTCGTCCACATCTGCAGGGAGAGAGGGATTAGCTTTTGCTTCTGAGACTAATTCTAAGGCCCCACCCAGCCTGGCAAGCAGAAATGAGGGCCGTCTTCTAGTCCTGCATCACAGATGCTCTCCGAATCAAAGGCGGTGGGGCCCATGATGATTAAAGCAGCCTTCACGGGTCTGGGGCTCACGTAGCCGGGCCCCTGGCACAGACACACGGTAATCAGCTCAGTCAACAGGTATCGAACAGCTTTACTTTCCAAGGCCCCGTGCTAGATGGCAAGATAACATTCCTGCCCTCCGGAAGCAAGCCCTTCAGGAAAGGGGAGGGGACAAGGTGAAAGCTGGCACAGAGGAAAGAGAGGTCACATCTGATTTTGTGGCATCAGCACGGGCTTTATGGAAAAGCTGATAAATGGTGAGTCCTTAGGATTTCTTCAATTCTAAATCCTGCCAGAAGAGATAGCAGGCAGGACAGGGAGTGTGAGCTGGCACAGGAGGCTGAGAAGCACGAAGTATTCGGACAGCAGTGAGTCATTTGATTTGGCTGGAGCACAGGGGACATGGAGGGAGCCACAGGAGAGACAGCTGGGGAGACAGACAGAGGTCACACGGCAGGATCCTGAATTCCAGGCAAAGATGTTCCTACCGCTGGCGCAGGGGAGACACAGCAAGACCTTGCCTTTGGGGAAATCAGAGAGGCAACGGAGGGTAAGGCACTGGGAGGAGGAGGAACAGGAAGCCCAGGAGTCCAGCCATGCATGAGCGCCTGAGAGGGCCATGGCCACACTGCCCCTGCAGGGCACAGAGCTGGAGAGGGCAGTGGTTTTCTGGGAAGGCAGGCAAAGGAAAGAATGGATGTGCAAGGTGCCCATGGGTCTCGGGTCAACTTTCCCTTTTTTCTTAGAGATCAAAAGTTGACGCTGAGGCCGCCTAGAAAAGAAACATGGGGGAGACCAGCACTTGGTGCAGAGAAGGGGATGGAGACATAGTTGTCACCTCTCCCAAGGCAGAGAGGCGAGATGCCTGACATGCTGAGATTCGGGGCGAGGTCCGGCAGGCGGTGGGATCAGCATAGCTTTGAAAACCGCTTACTTGCAGATGCAGCATAAATAGGTGGCTGCCGATGAGGGAACCAAAGGCAGGAGTGTGGGGAAGCAGGAAAGCAGTGCAGAAAGGAGGCTGAGAGAGGTAGAATTCTGGGCAGTGCTGGAATAAGGAGGAGTAGAGGAGACAGCGGGAGTCCCAGGAGCCCGGAGAAGGAGCCATGAGAAAGGCAGGGTGGGAAGAAGACTCCTCTGCGCAGCTCCTGCTACCCTGTGGGGACTTTCCTTCTCCAAGGCTGTGACGTGCTGCACACTGCTGTACTGAGACACTTACCTGTCTGCACCCCAAAACCCTCTGCCTGTCCGACTCTGCTAGATTGCAGACTCCTTCAGGACAGAGCTGTTTGTTTTAATTAGCAGAGCCCTGGGGCATGGTAAGCTCTCATGAACTGGCCAATGTATGGACAAACAAGCAGGAGAGTGCAGCGCCACCAGAACCAGAGAAGAGGAAACTTCCAGAAGAGTGTCAGACGCCACAAAGGCTCTAGCAGCTTATTTTCTCCAGTCTAACTCCTCATGTGCCCATCACTAGCTCCTGGGCATATCTGTAATCAGAAAATTCACATTTAAATATCTGTTATCTGGTTTCAAGCCTCAGATCTTACAGGCATCTGTCCTCCCACACTACCGGGCAAGATGCCTGACTAAACTGATGGGACTGGAGCCATCCCCCAAAGCCTAACAAACGTGCCCTTGTCTATGCCCAAGGCCAAAGGAAGCACATTCTGGAGGACGAGCATTCCAGAGAGGCGCACCTGGCCTAGGTGTCCATGGTGAGGACTCACAGTGAGAGGGAGGGGTCTGTCTCCCGAGCGCCACATCCTGGCTTGGTTATGAGTAAAGGCGCCCTGCTTTTATGCTGCCACATTTAACTCACTACATCTTTCCTCCAACGCCATCAGAAACGTGCCATTAAGCTGGGGCCATATCGCAACCAGATAAATCTGACACTGTGTATGTTCATATGCACAATATCACCAGGCTGCTGAGTTTCTCCAGATGATGGGACAGGGTTTTCAACCCATGCTAGCACCAAGATTCCAGGACGCCTCCTCCAGAGACTAATGGGTGATCAGGGGTAACATGAGGTCAGGGGTCATCCCAGAGGATGCAAGGACCTGCCACTCCAGAAGAGCTTTGGCTCTGAGTTTCTTTCCTACCACAAAGTGTGTCTGCCCTTTCCAGTGGGAGACAGGAAGGTCTCTCTGTGTGCTGGTTTTACTCTTTCAAAGGGACTTTTAAGAATCCTTACCCTTGTTTGGGCATGGTGGCGCATGCCTGTAATCCCAGCATTTGGGAGGCTGAGGCAGGAGGATCGTTGTGAGTTCGAGACCAGCCTGGGCTACAAAGTGAGTTCCAGGTCAGTCTCAACTACACAGTGAGACCCTGTCTCAAACAAACTAAAAAAGAATCCTTACCCCTGCAGACACGCTCGGTGGATGCTCAGGGTCTGAGTATACAAAGAGACCCTCAAGGAAGAGAAATGAGATTCTGCTGAAATGTTTGTGTTATGGGCTCAGGCAAAGTAAGACTCCAGACATCAGGATTTCTGAGCAGGCCTGTACGCAGAACCATTCCGCCCAGCCCTGGCCCAGGTCCTGAAACCTTGGATGGTTCAGGTTGTTGCTCTTAGGAAGCTCACACTTCCCCCAGGCTGTGGATCAGAGCACAACAGTTATGACCAGATCTACAATCAGATATGAAGCCTCAAAATGCCACTGTTGGAAAATCAAAGGGAATTTTCCCCTGAAAATGGGAAGCAAAACAAACTACAACAAAACCCATACTCCATGATTCCCAACAAATTACACACTGAAAAGGATTTCCCTTTCCTGAGTTTTAAATTTATCTCAATTTGTTCCTGTCCTCAGCATTGCTCTCAAATGTGCCTTTTTGTGGTGCTGACTGCTTGCACAGTCTGCTGAGGAGTTACCACTTCTCTAGCCTTCAACAAACTGCTCCTGACAGCTCTAGGCTTGCAATGCCACAGGCCCAGTGGACCAAAGCCTGAGCTATCCCACAAGGTACAGACAGGAAAGGACAGTGTCTACATCAGGACAGAGATCGAGGTGATCCTGAAGTGGGATAAAGGTCACATCTAGGACCCCTCCAGAAGTCCCCCCAGGAAACACAGGTTCTGCCTGGACTTTTCTAGGGCCTTTCTAGGCTGCTCTCAAAGAATTTTTATTCAATCAACTGGCCCTTTCTACCATATCATAAAGGGGCATTTCAACAGCTGCCCCCAGAGCCAGAGCCATGATTAAGCTGCTCCTCAGTTGGCACCAGAAGGTCAACATGAAGGTCACTGCCATAAAGGACCCTGCTGCTATGCGTCTCCCATAATGTCTTTGTGTAAACATAACACTGGCCTTAAAAAGCAAACCACAATCCCTACCTGCCAGGTGTGCTGCGTCCTTGAAGATCGTCCAACACTCAATCCCATCCAACTGCTTGCTACTTCTAAATTCTATTTTATTCCTAGCATGAAGAACCAATGAAAACAACACTCCTTGCAGCCTCTAATTCAGGAACGGAAACTCTAACAGTTGTTTCTGTTTTATGGAATACTAGAAGGATGTTCATGGAAAGGTTCTGTTTCATTTTCTGTCTTTCAAGAAAAGTAGGTGGTGGTGCACCTACCTGGCAAAGACCCAAGCACACATTTGAAATCTTTAGGACAAGTTTTACCTAACTTCAGAAAAAAGACACCTATAGGATCAATGAAATAGTTATAAATCAAGATCCTTTCAAACCAAGAGCAAAGATATTAAAGGTGACAAGTTAATGCCAGAAAATCAATAAACAGTAATGACAATGTCCACTCATCTCCCTGGACTGATGTGGGATTTATATTATGTATGATCATATGAAAACTAAAATACATTACCTGATTTTCTATCAAGGAGTCTGATTTCTTTTTTCTTTTTGGTACCAGGGATCGAACTCGTATCTTTATGCTTGTGAGGCAGGCAACGGAACCACTGAGCTAAATCCCTAGCCCAGGGAGTCTGATTTCTTGAGGGCCAAAAGCCCAAGCCTGTCTTACCTTTTCTGTCTTAATGATTAAGTTTTAACCAAAGGAAATAAAGGGACGAAATTTTAGAGGGTGGGTATAGGAGAATTATTTCTAAGTGTTTTTCTTACCAAGACAATTATGACCATCATGAGCCAACATGAAGCCATCGAAACAAGTGCAGCGATAATTGCCTGGTATATTCAGACAGTCATGGACACAGCCGCCATTGAGTTCATTTTCACATTCATCGATGTCTAAGGAATAAAACAGAATTAAGCCAAACAGGTGCAATTTCTTTGGGAGACATATGCATTTATCTTTTAGTCCTATATCTCAGAGTCCAGGCCAAAGCAAGAGAAAAAATATACACAAAGTTATATGTTCAGGCAATATTTGTAATTATAAAATACTGGAAACAACCTAGAAGTCATTAAACTAGACAGCAGTTTAATGAATACGGTGTATCTACTTGTTAGAGTGCTATGCAGCTTTTTAAAAAGAAAAGGAGGAAGAGGCAGAAGATCTCTGAATTGATTTACAGAAATTTCTAGAATGAACTATTAAATGAAAAAGTCAAAATGCATCTACAATATTATCTTCATGTAGAGATATAAGGACATACACACAAAAAAAATTCAGCATGCTTTTTTTGCAGGACATGACAAGCTTATCCTGGAATCTATGTGGAAATGCAAAAGGCTCAAAATAAGAGTTGAGGCCGGGCGTGGTGGCACACACCTATAATCCCAGCACTCGGGAGGCTGAGGCAGGAGGATCGCTGTGAGTTCGAGACCAGCCTGAGCTACATAGTGAGATCCAAGTCAGTCTCACTACATAGTGAGACCCTATCTCAAAAAAGCCAAAAATAAATAAATAAGAGTTGAAACAATTTTACAAGTGAACACATATGGAGAATTAGCTTACTATAAAGCGATCCTTACCAAGACAGTGAGTGTGGGTATAAAGATACATATAGATCAATAGAACAGACTGAGAGACCAGAAATAAACCTTTTATTTATGATCACTCAGTTTTAGACAAAAGAGCTAAGGTAATTCAATGAGAGAAATGATAGTCTTTTCAATAAATACTGCTATTGAGGCTGGGCTGATCCACTGCGGGAAGGAGAACCACACCTGCTCCCGACCCAGCAGCCATCGCTCCAGCGCTGGGAAGGTAGCCGCGCGGGCGCCCCTGAACCCCCATAAGC